CTATTATTATTATTGTTATTATTATTATTATTATTATTATAATTATTATTATTATTATTATTATTTTAATCATTATCATTACAGTACAAGTGTATGGCCTACCCTATCGGTACAGCGTAATACTATAATAGTATTTCCAGTAAACGGAGTTGCCCAGTAAAGACATCTTCCCCACGAGGGAATCAAACTCAAGTGATTTGCGTTCAAGGCCTAGATGTAGATACTTGATTACACCATAGAAGCCGACGCACATGCTTGAAGAAGACGTAACTGTCATCTCATTATTTTCGGGGAAATTGACGCCATCGCTGGAGACCCACTTCGACTTGATAGCCCAGCACCTAATAAGTTATTGATAGGAACTGTCTTGTGAGAGAGCCAATTTCGGGGGAAATCTTGTTAGTGAAGATAAGCGGGCGGTAGTTCTACGAATGATTCATGAGCCGAGGACCGTCTAAAGTCGGTCTCGGAGACTAGCATTCTCGTGGGAGTAACTAGGTGGGTAGATATCAAAATTTAGGTATTTTATTCAGGGTTTCGGGCCATTGGTCCCCATCACATAAAGCATACACATTTTACAAAAGAGACTTCCGTGAAACAGTCTTTTGTTTTGGTAAGAGTTGTACGGCATTTGCAACATGATTAGGTCATAATTATAAGTGCCGAAGATTCGATGTATTACAAAAGAGTAACAAACACAAAAAAAAAAAAGAAGGAGAGAGATAAAGCGATCAATGTTTGATAGAAAATAAGGAATAAAACCCCAGAGCACCCACCAACCACCTATTAAACAGTTTTGAGGGGGTACAAGTAAAAGAAAAGCGTGAACAAAATAAAATTAAATGCAGGTGAGATTCTACGAACCATGTCTTGATTGCAGGACCACTTTAAATTGTGTGAATAGTGAATAGATGACCAAACAGCTGGAAACATTGCATATAACATAATCCCATTCTGACAGCATGTTAAAAAATGACGTGAGTACATGCCAAAGTCGTTTCATTCTGGTTGATTTTACAAGGTTTGATCAAGCTGATCAAAAATTTAAAAAAAGGTGTTTTACCCCTCTATTGACGCAGTTTAGACCATTTAGGAGGTGAGTTTCGCTCCTGTCTGTCCGAGCCAACTCAGGCTGAGAGGGGTGACGCAACGTCTCCGCAGAAAGACTGAGATACCGGTAAACCTACTCTATGAAAGATTCTCCCTACAAGGGAATCGAATTCAAGTTTTCTGCGTGCGACGGCAAAAGCGCTTACCACTACACTACAGACGCGGATTCAGTGCGAACATTTGATAAGGCCATCTGCTGGTAGAATTTCTAAAATCCATATCCCTTGACTATATAAAACAACAATGATATATATGTATATTAGTCAAACATCAAAGTATAAATTCAAGTAAATATTTATTATTATAAGCACATGGTAACCATGGTAACCAAACAAACATCCGCCATATTGGATAATTTCATCAAATATCAAAAGTTATCTTCTCTCTTAGTTTTCGTTCGTTGGCTTTCATTTTTAGCAAGTACAAACTATAACACCTATGTAATGAACAAATAACGCCAGATTTGTAATATTATTACGATTTTGAAAATAATTATGGATTCTGGAAACATGAACATGGATAAAAAGTTTAACAATCTAAAAATTCCCAACAAAAGCACTGATTGTAATTTTATCCTTTTATTATCTTAAAAAAGGGCTCTATTTCAGTATAGGTCACCTATGGATAGACAATGTGTTAAATAATGAAGCTATTCAGATGAAAAATAAAGGAGGAGATGTAATTTAAAGTCTAAAAAATAAATATTTGAAAAAAATGAAGAAGACCCAAAATTGCAAAATAGTTTTTTAAAACCCATTTTTAAATGACTTCTAAACACAATTGATTGAAGCAGGCGCTCGAAACTTTGAAGGGTATTGATGTAGGTGTTAAAAATGGAGGGGGAAAAATGTATGGTCAAACTGGGTGAAAATGGGGATAATCTCACCCGCAGATGGCCCACACGCATGTCTCTTTGATATTTCGAGGTACCGTACGCCAAGTACGCACTACGTAGTGCTTCATGGACCTTTCTGAACACAACTTCAGAGAATCTGAGATCTCACTTGCATTACGTTAAAGAATATTCCGCGAAGAGAAAGTTATATTGAGCGCTAACTGCGAACGTGTTGTAAGGAAACAATAAGTAATTCCGCGAAGAGAAAGTTATATTGAGCGCTAACTGCGAACGTGTTGTAAGGAAACAATAAGTAAAATCAGATAATAATATTGTTATAGACGACCCTGCGTTAACGACCACCGGTTTAAGACAATAACCTGTTCAAACGACCATCCCCTCTTGCCTTTTCCTATATTATAATGAGACTGCCCAAGAGGACCACCTGTCTAAAATGACCATATAATTTCTCTTCGACGATATGTTGTCGTCTTAGGCTGATTCGAAGAGTCTCTGCCGGTCAATATCAGTCATATGAAGGAAATTTCAAAACTGAGTTAACATTATTTTTAAAAAACTATCACTTTTTCCCTACAATTTAAAACAAGAATGAAGTAAATGTGACCATATTTGACGAAAATACAGAACTTTTAATTGTGCGAGGTAAGGAAACACGAAAATGAGATAATGGGCTCCGAAGTTGAGCAACATGTTTCCATAGCAGTAGGGGTCTTAGAATTAAGATAGAGAATTGAAATTTAGCAGTTATCTTGGCTATGCCGCTACAAGCAAAACAAAATTTGCTCAAGAATGTAACACCTCTAATCTTCTGGCGCTCATATGACCTTATGCAGTTGCAAGCGCCGTAAAACTCTTATCAAAAAAAGAAAAAAAAAGAAAAGAAAACTTAGACGCTTTTTTCAAGGTTTTCTATCCAAACGCCAAAGGCTAAAACTAATAACCACAGGAAATTACACTCAAAGCTGTATACTTCTTAGCCAATGAAAATACGGTATTTAATCATCAATCTTTCTGCAAAGCATTCGAATGCATGGGTGTCAATTTTGAACCGGCCGACCTCGCATTCCGACCGCGAGTTCCCTTTCCACGGCAATTCTCTAGCTCCGAATAATCGGATATACTATATACAAACAACTTACACTATTGTAATGAAGAAAGTCTGAACTTTTTCAAAGTGTTCAGCATTTGATGTTTTATAGCAAAAGAGCAAAGAAACAAATCTGAATTACCCCCATTTTACCGAAACTACGCGCTCGGAAGGCCGCGAGTCGGCTTACGCGCCGAGTTTACGCTACCTAATTATACGTTTGCAATAGCACAATAAACACACGAGAGCACACACACACACACACACACACACACACACACACACACACACACACACACACACACACACACACACACACACACACACACACACACCCACACCCACACACATATACACACACATGCACATAGACCGCCTCGGTGGCCTCTTGGTAAGGAGTCCGCTCTGAGAGATCTAGAGGAAGGTTGATTAATCTTTTAAAAGCACTAAAACACAATAAAAACAATTATTTAAAAGTCAATCCAAGGGTAAAACTGAAAGATCAAGAGACGAAAACAGCTAGCAGGGCACGCCCACACAGTCAGCTGTTTACGTAAACAAGCTTAACGTGAGCCAGAGGTTACCGTTTTTACTCCGTTTTACCAATCAGAGTTGTTTACATTTCTGACCATTCACGCTCAAAAAGGGGTCAAAATCTAAAAATAGTTGCGAAGGAAGAATGTTGAAGCAAAGATACTCCACTAGTAGAGAATCTTTGGTTGAAGCAAAGGTGGCCATGAGGTACTTACTTTACTTTTACTTTTTCATCCTTTGTTGCCGTTAAGAGTCGAGGGGAGATGCAGTTTTCTATGGTAGGCGCAGCTCTTTCAGTTGTGATGTTATGTTTTCTTAGGGTTTCCTTGACACCCTCGATCCACCTTTTGCGTGGCCTTCCTCTTCCTTTATAGCCTGAGTGCTTGGTGTTGTAAGCTCTCGGGGCTGGCTGGTCAGGTGACGTGCGTAACAAGTTGC